CTCGGGATCTTGGGCAGGCACGCACATGCGCCCAGCGTGAATTTAAGCCACCGGGTCCGGGACTCGAACCACGGTCGACTACGTGGGAGTCCAGCGACATAGCCATTACGCTAACTGCTGGTCCCAGTAAAATAATTCTTTAAAATAATTTAAAAATTAAAAAATATAATCAAGATAACACACTATACTAAAAGAATTAATAACAAAAATTACAACACACACATACACACACACACACACACACACACACACACACACACACACAAGCTTTTGACAAAGTCAAACATCCTGATCCTTTCATGATCAAAATGTTCAACAAACTTGGATTAGAAAGAAATTCCTCAAACTGATAAAAGGCACTTTTGAAAAACCCACAGCTAGCATTATACATCAAGGGAAAAAACTGAATACTTTTCCCTTAAGATCAGAAACAACGTAAAGATGTCTGTTTTTATCACATCCATTCAGCACTGTACTGAAAGCTTGAGCCAGGACTCTGAGGCAACAAAATGAAATAGAAGGCATTTAGATTGAAAAGAGAGCAGTAAAACTGGCTCCAAGGAACAGAAGACGTATCTTATGTATAGAAAAATCCTAAGGAATCCACTAAAATATAATACTAATAGAACTCATAGGTAAATTAAACAGGTAACAGAACAAGATCAATATAAAAAAATCAGTTTTACTTACGTATACCACTAACCCAAAAGTAAAAATTAAGGCCAGCAGGTGGTGTGGAGGTTAAGGTGCTGGATTCCACATGGATGACTCCACAGTTCACGACTCAGACTTGGCAGCTTGATAAACACACCAGGCACAAGTACAAGAAAATAATGGAGAAAGATTGCTGTATGGCCATCCCCCTAGGAGGTGATTTCTCATTTCCCCCCTCTGTTTTTCTGTCTCTCTCCAATGAGCACACTCGCCCTATGGCAAAAGTCTAAACCAAAACCAGAAATAAATTTTTAAAAAATTAAAAGCATAAGTTCATGTATAACGACATAAAAAGAATAAAAATACTTAAGAGAACATTATAGTATAAGACACATAAACTGAAAACTACAAAAGAATGTTGGAAAAAATGGAAACACTACAGAGGCTGATGCTGTGGCCTCGTGGTTCAGGGAGCCTGATCCCAAATGGCTCAAATCCCACCCCGATGCTGAGTGCACGTGCATGTGTGCCCCCAAATCCCGACAGGATAGAAAGATGGAGAAGGGATTGCAGTGTGACCACACCCCATTGGAAGGTACTTTCTCTCTCTCCCTCTGTCTCTCTTTGGTGAGTGTATGTGCTCTCTGGCAATTAAAACAAAAAGAAGAAAGCTAAAGAAATGGAAAGACAACCCATGTTCACGAATCAGAAGACTGGGCCAATATGTGGCACTGTGGTTAAGGCACTGGATTCCCACACGGCTGACCGTGGTTCAAGTTCCAGACCTGGCAGCTTGAAACTCACACCAGGTGTATGTGCGTGCATGCCCAAAATCCCAAGAGAAGGGACTGTGGTATAGCAATGCCTCCTGGGGGTGATTTCTCCTTTCTATCTCTGTGTCTCTGGTAAGTGCATGTGCCCTTTAGCAAAAAAAAAACTCTATAAAAAAAGAAAGAAAGAAAGAAAAGAAAAGAATCAGAAGATTTAAATTTATTTATTTGCCATAGGGCATGCCAGCTTGCTGGAGAGAGACAGACAGATACAGAGAGAAGGAAAGAGAGAAATCACCCTCCCGGTGGGGTGGCCACGCCACATTCCCAATCCCTTCTCCTCCATTCTCCTCTTGAAATTTTGGGCATGCATGCACACACACCCAACGTGATTTTCAAGCCACTGAGTCTGAGACTTGAACCACAGTCAGTCACGTGGGAGTCTAGCACCTCAACCACTACGCCACCTGCTAGCCCAGATTTAAAATTTCCTAGAGACAACAGGTGGCATAACGGTTAAGGCGCTAGACTCCCACATGGCTGACTGTGGTTCAAGTACTGCTCCTGGAGGTTTGCTTTCTTTCGCTCTCTCTTTCTCTCTCCCTCTCCTCTTTCTCTGTTTCTCTATCATGAGCACATGTGCCCTGTAGCAAATTTAAAAAATAATAATAGTAGTGATAAATAAAATGTTTTTAAAAGAACAATAAATTTTTTTAGAGGTTTTTGCTATAGGGCATGTGTACTCGCCAGAAAGACAGAGAGACAGAGAGAGAGAGAGAAAGCGAGAAATTACCCCCCAGAGGGGATGGCCACGCCACAATCCCTTCTCCTCCATTCTCCTCTCGCGATCTTAGGCACGCACACACACACCCATTGTGAGTTTAAGCCACCGGGTCCAGGACTCGAACCAAGGTCGACTACATGGGAGTCCAGCGACATAGTCATTACGCCAACTGTTGGTCCCAAGAACAATAAAGATTTTTAATGCTTGAGGATACATACATGTGTTCGAGGGGTGAGGAGTCCGTGCAAGAACCACACCCTCACACACGCAATGAAACACGGTCACGATTCAATCCTATTTTTTCCAATTGTTCATCCCATCAGGATGCAGGGCATATGTGTGCACACTTCTGGGACATTTTTCAAGCCACTAGGGCTGGGATTCAAACCCCAGTTGGCCATGTAGAATCTGGCTTTTGTGTAGCATTTAAGTGCTGCACTACAAGGTCAGCCCAGAAGGATTCATATTCTAAAATAGCAATATTCCCAAACCGATCTAAAGATCAATGCCAGATGGCTTTCTTTAAAGATAAGCACAAAACTGTTCCAAAAATGTATACGGAAATAAGGAACCTAGAAGAGCCAAAACAATCTAGAAAAAGAAGTACGAATTTGGAGAACTCATTTTTCCAGTTTTGAAAGTGACTACAAGAGGACAGGCAGTGGCACAATGGTAACAGCTGGGCCCGCATAGGAAAGGTCCTCCGTTCTCTTCTCGGGTCCTCCTGAGGATATCGGGCATGACTCTGACCTGGGCCAGCAGAGACTGGGAGTGGATCACACCTTAAGAACTCTGGTAAGAGTGCCCCCCTCTCTCTCTCTCTCTAAAGAAATAAACTTTTAAAAAATACCAAACTATAAAACCATAGTAATCAAGATTGTATGTAGCCCTGACAGAAGGTTAACTACTTGGCTCTATGGAAAAGAATTACAAGTCCCAAAGTAAAGTTTTGCATTTTTTTAAAGAATTATTTATTTTTATTTATTCATTCGTTCATTTTAATTTGATCAGAGAGAAAAGAGAAAGAAAGAGAGAAAATGAGAAAGCAAGCCACGAGGTCCAGGACTCGAACCACGATTGGCCATGAGGGAGTGTTGAGCGTCTTAACAACCATGATACCTGCTGGTCCCAAGTTTTGCATTTTTTAAAAATTATTTTATTAATTTTACGTATTATTATTATTATTTTAATTTGCCATAGGACACATGCGCTAACCAACAAAAGAGAGAGAGAGAGAAATTGAGAAAGCAACCCAGGACTGGAACTGTAGTCAGCCATGTGAGAGTAGTGCCTTAACCACCACGACACCTGCCAACCTCCAAATCTTGCATTTATGATCAATTGATTTCCCACAGAATAGCAAGACAAATAAATCATTGGGAGAAAAGACAAGTCTTTTCAAAAAAAATATATAATTATGCAGGGACTTTGGAAAACAGTTTGGCAGTTCCTCAAAATCTTAAACATAGATATACTTTGACCTGGCAAGCCCAGTCTTAGATGTATGCTCAAGAGAAATTTAAAACACATATTATGGGGCCAACAGTTGGCATAATGGCTATGTCCTCCAAATCTTGCATTTATGATCAATTGATTTCCCACAGAATAGCAAGACAAATAAATCATTGGGAGAAAAGACAAGTCTTTTCAAAAAAAATATATAATTATGCAGGGACTTTGGAAAACAGTTTGGCAGTTCCTCAAAATCTTAAACATAGATATACTTTGACCTGGCAAGCCCAGTCTTAGATGTATGCTCAAGAGAAATTTAAAACACATATTATGGGGCCAACAGTTGGCATAATGGCTATGTCACTAGAGTACATAATCAACCGCGGTTCAAGTCCTGGACCTGGTGGCTTAAACTCACGCGAGGTGCGTGTGTGTGCGTGCCCAAGATCCCGAGAAGAGAATGGAGGAGAAAGGTTTGCGGTGTGGCCATGCAGTGATTTCTCGCTTTCTGTCTCTGTCTCTCTCTGCCTTTATGGCAAGCACACGCGCCCTATAGGAAAAACCTCTAAAATAAAAAAAAAACATATCCACACAGTAACTTGACACAAATGTTCATAGCTGCTTTATTCATAATAGCCAAAAAAAGTAATCCAAATCTTCATCAATGATTAGCAAAGAAAACGTGATGTATGGCTACAAGGGAATATTTCTCAGCAATAAACGAAATGAAGTTCTGATACCTGTTAGAGCAAAGACAAGCTCTGAAAACATACTCAGTGAAAGAAGCCAGTCATACACTGAGTCCTATCCAGATTGGCAAAACCATAGAGGCAGAAAGCAGACTAGTCATGGCCTAGGACCTGGGAGCTGGGAGGCGGAGGTCGGTCGTGGAGAACGGCAGGTGACTGCCACTGGATACAGGGCTGTCCTTAGGGGTGCTAAGCTCAGGTCGTGGTGCTGGACATACAATTCTGTAAGCACGCCAAAAAACAAAACCTCCACTGAATTTTATACTATAAATGACTGATGGGTACAATATAAGACAAAATTTCTCCAAAATATCCGTTAAAAAAATTAGAAACTAAGATTATCCGGACCTACTGCCGGCAAATGAGAGCGTTTCCCCAAAACCCAGGCTACGGAGCCCGCGGAGGCCGCGTGCTAGAGCAGAAGGGGGCGGGGGCCAGCGGGAAACGTGCCAGCGGGAGCGCCATAACTTCCCGATTGCGACAGACGACTGGATGCGTTGTTGTGACCCGCTCCGTTATCCCTTCCCAAGGAGCTCGGTATCTACCGGGAAAACTGGTCCCCAAAGGCCACCAGGCTCCCGTAATACTCACCGCCCAGCAACAGCAAGAGCCCGGAACCCGGATGCGGGGGCGCCATCTTTATTCTGGGCAAAGAGAAGTTCGAAAGGAAATCACTGGAACGGTGATTGCCACGGTCAGGCAAGGGCAATACAAGGCAGCCGCGGCCATCTTGACTGAGGGCAGCCACCCTGGGAATGAACCTCGCTCTTAGCTAGTTGTCACGATTTCTAGAGGAGGCTAATGCATTAATGACGTTGGCAAACACTAAGGGCACAGGAAAAATATTTTTTTAATTTCAATGTTTGAATATCTACAGGAAAAAACGAAAATTAGGGAGCCAGCAGGTGGCGTAATGGTTAAGGCCCTGGTCTCCCATATGGCAAGCTGTGGGTCCAGTCCTGGCCTAGACCTGGCGACTTGAAGTTCACATAGGCACGTGTGCGTGAGTGCCCCAAATCCCGGAGGGTTGGGGGTTGGGGGTTGAGGGTTGGGGGGCTGGGAGGGGAGTGATTTCTCACTGTCTCTCTGCCTCTCCCCAGCGAGCATACCTGTACTACAGCAAAAATCTTTTAAAAATATATAAAAATTAGACATTAATGGAACCAGCAGTTAGCGTAATGGCTATGTTGCTGGACTCCCATGTAGTCGGCCGCGGTTCGAGTCCTGGACCTGGTGGCTTAAAACTCATGCCGGGCGTGTGTGCGTGCATGTGCCCAAGATCCCAAGAGGAGAATGGAGGAGAAGGGATTACAGTGTGGCCATCCCCCTGGGGGGTGATTTCTCGCTTTTTGTCTCTTTCTTTCTGGCAAGCACACGTGCCAGCGCACTGCCCTATAGCAAAAACCTCTCCAAAAAAAAGAAAATAGAAATTAACATAAAGGATGAAAATATTTTAATAATGCATGGAAGTAGCTACATACAATTGCCAGAATTATAGAACCAGAGGGAAAAAAAACTATGAAAATATGAAATTACTACACGTTTAACTTACAGAGCTCAAATTTGCATTTTTAAGGGGTTTTTTTTTTGGGGGGGGTGTTATAGGGTGAGTGCACTCATCTGAAAGAGAGAAAGAGAAATCACCCAACTTCCCTTATTCTTCCACCTCCCCCCAAGTGGGGATGGCCACCCTGCAATACCTTCTCTATTCTCTCCAGATTTTGGGCATACATGAAAACATGCCTAGCATGATTTTTCAAGCCACCAGGTCCAGGACTGTGGAGTTAGCCATGTGGGATACAACGCCTTAGCCACCATGCAATCTGCTGGCCTCTAATTGGCTTTTATTGTAATTCTAGAATCAGGCAACTATGAACTGAGCAAAGGAGATTGGCTTTACAGGCAGAAAATGCTGAGGAAAGCAGAAACAGAACAAAAAGTGAACTGGTGGCTTCAAAGTTATGTTCCTTTAGGATTAAAACAGACAAGATATCTTCATCACACTAATTTTAGACGGATTGCCCATTCTGTGAAAACTGGTTCAGTTTCAAAGTTTAGTTGGATTATGTGACACTTAGCACAAGTGACTCCATTCTTGTTTGGTCTGGTCTGTGAGAGCCTAGTGCAGGAGGCTAGCCTAAAACAACTGGCCTTGGGGACCAGCAGATGGTATAATTGCTGGACTGCCACAAGTCCTACCACAGTTTGAGTCCCGACCTAGTAACTTGGCACTCATGTTGGGCACATATGCGTGTGAGCCCAAAATCCCAGGAGGAGAATGGAAGAGAAGGGATTGTGTGTGTGGTCTCTCTGGCAAGAGCACTTGCCCTATAACGAAAACTCTCTCTCAAAAAAAAAAAAAGGAATTTATATTAAGAATGCAAGAGGCCTGTTTGTATTCATCCCAACATCTTTCTCTAAAAATGCTACCATTTTGTTTGGAACAGTCTTCCAGCATTTTCCTATCAAGGATCACATGTTACTAGTGGGGAAGGCAGTTCGTTACCCACTGCACATGAATGCCAATCACCATACTACCAAATCTTAAGAAAGTTTTTATTTTTTAAATAACTGTGCATTTAATTATTTTTATTACTATTATTACTTTTTAAAAATTTGCAATAGGGCACATGCACTCACAAGAGGGAGAGAAAATGAGAAAGCAAGCCACTGGGTCTAGGACACAGTCAGTCATGTGGGGGTCCAGTGCCTTAACCACCACACCACCTGGGGGCCCTCAAGACAAGAAAGCATTTTATTGCAGGCTGTCCGTGACTTAGTTGGCAAGGAGGCAGAAGTGTTACAGGTCTAGCAGTAGAGTTCCTGTCTCAAATCTACCTTCCCAGCATAATAGTAAGAAGAAGGCTGGGTAGGCTGGGTCTTTTACAGAGGAATAGATCCACCCCACACTCCCATTGGCCCACTTTTATGTAAATGAAGGATTAAAATGGGTTCTGTTCTGATTGGTCATTCTGATGCAGCCAGCATTTTCATTCCTTTCCCCCACTGGGGATCAGCTTAGGTCAGCTTGATGCTTCATTTTGGGCTTTTTTTTTTTTTTTTTTTTTAATTGACAAAGGGCACTGGCTAGAGAGAGTAAGAGAAAAGAACTCCCAGTGGGATGGGATCGTGGCACAGTCCCCTCTTTATTTCTCCATTCTTTGAGGATTCAGGGACTGCATGCAGCTGCACCCAACTTGATTTCAAACCACCAGGGCCAGAATTCAAACTATGGTGGTCTCTATAGCATCTGGCTTTCTTAACCACTAGGGCACAGGGCCAGCCCTTGATGCTTCCTTTTAAAGATCTTACTGGGGTCAGTAGGTAGTGTGGTGGTTAGGACACTGGACTCCCATATGGCAGACTGTAGTTCCGTGGTTCAAGTCTTGAACCTGGTGGCTTGCTTTCTCAACCCCCGCTCCGTGAATGCTCATGCCCTGTAGCAAATTGAAGAATGATAAAAATGATAAATAAAATTAATCATTATTTAAAACAATTTGTGAAGATCTTACTGGATTCACTCTGTCCTCACTGAATCTTTATGAGTACACTCCACCATTATCTGTCACCTGGAGCACAACAGCTTCATAACTGTCTACTCACCTCCACCATAACCAAATTTATCTTTATCTCTCTCTTTTCTTTCTTTCTTTCTTTTTTTTTTTTTTTTGAAAGATAATTTTGCTATATAGGGCGTGAGCACTCGCTGGAGAAACAGAGAGAGACAGAAAGTGAGACATCACCTCCCAGGAGATGACCACACTGCAATCCCTTCTCCTCCATTCTCCTCTTGAGATTTTGTGCACGCATGTACACACGCCCGGCCTGATTTTTAAGCCATGGGGTATGGAACAAACCATTATGCCATCTGCTGGTCCCTATCTTTTATCTTTGTTATCATAACACTCCACGCCCACAGGCTAAAGCTCAGACTTCTTAACCATACTTAGAGGATATCTGCTCCTTATCTCCCATCACTATTCTTGAATCCTCAGCCTATATACTGACTGTTTTCTTTAAATATTCCATGCTTGCCCTCTCTCACTTTGCACTCTCTCCCCCAAATTTCTCACTTAGACACACTCTTCTTTTCTTTTCTGTGCTCTTTCTCACCTTCAGATGTTAGCTTTAGAACATTTTTCCTCCAGGAACCTTCTCTGACTTGTCAAGTAGAAGTTAGTTGTCCCTCCCAGGAATGCTCACTTTACTCTATTTCCTTTGATTACTAGAAATTATTTTGCCCTTTCTGTTTTTCCCATAAAAAGAGAGAGGAAAAAAAAGTGTCTTCTGGGAAAGACATGACTGTCTTTTCCATGCTATATTCCATGGCCCAGCTCCGTGCTGTTAGATGTACGGATAAGTCTCTTCCCAGCTCTTCCACATCCTGCATTTCTTACCCACATCGCAATCAACTTTTACACCCTCCAAGGAGTCTCAAAGACATGACTTCATGACACGTTCTCAGTGAAACAAACCTTGGACCTGTTTGCCATTGTCACCTTTGGTTTGAAAAACAAGTCACTGTAGAATTCAACTCTCATACTTTTACCTATGGTTTTTCCGTAACAAAGTTTATCTTTTGAATGACTTCCTGGAGCTTATTTCTGAAGTCTCCGGTCTTTGCCATATAGCATTCTCTTTTACCACTCTCAGCGCCCAAGAAATGAAAGCAAATTGAAGTAGGTATTGAAACAAAACATTCACTTTGAAGAGAGGGCAAAATAAAGGGTCTTTCATATTCCAAAAGTACCCATTATTTTGAATTCCCTGCTGCTCGCATTGATTCTATAGCGACAGTATAAACTGAGTTATGTCACGGGCTTCTGAAACTCTTTTTAGTTCATGGTTTAATTTCTGCCATCAGCTAAGCCAGCTACTTCAGCCAAGTCTCTTTCAGCAGAAAAGAAGAGTCATTTGAGTTGAAAGACCAGAATAGCTCTTTTATCTTATCTTTCCTTGGCATTCTGAACCTTGGTCTAATTACCCTCTCACCTGGGGATTTGACTTTAAGAAAGGGGAAAGGAAACGTCACAAAGGTTCAAGGATTAAGTAATTAATGAGTCTCATGACTCAATTATTGCTTTTTCAGTCTTGTAATATTTGAAAGCCATAATTAAGCAGCCAAGGGAAAAATACTAGATAGACCTCAAACTCTTCAGCTAGACTGGGAAGCTCACAGTGGGTGAACTGTGAGTTTTATTTGCCAGTGCACACTCTTCACTTAGAATCTCACTCAGTGACTTCTCCCATATTTATAAAGAGCATAACCTTGGACTGGAAGAACTAAAATTAGTACTAGCACCATGCTAGCTGATGGTAAAGACTAAAAATACGACTTGATGGACATATGATGCTAGCAAGATGAATAATTTCCTGATACCTGGAGTATATGAGCGCTTAGTAAATAATATTAGTTCATGCTGCTGGATATTGAACATGTCTGACCCCTGGCCCAGAGCCACTCTCAACGATCTACATTCAGCACTTGACCTGGACTCAGCAGGCAAGGCTTAAAATTTTGGTCTCTTACTGACTAAATATATAACTAGAGCCATCTAAGGTCTCTGAGCTTTAAGTTTTTATCAGTCAAAAGGGAGTCATAGGGACCAGCAGTTAGCATACTGGCTATGTTGCT